ATATGATTATGATTTTGCCGGTCTGTTGTCCTATTTAGAAGATATAGTCATCCCATCGTTTCATATGGATTTAGAAGTCCATTTGTGCAGTTTCCAACAATGTACAAGAGGAAAATGCATGAAAGGAGAGTATTGCTGTTTCACAATGATGCCCTCACCCTTCTTGAAGTACTGCTGACAGTTTTGCAGATTCTCAGTGTTAAAAGGTGCTGTAGATATACGATTCAGATTTGCTTGTATAATATACCTTTGAAATATTATTCATCAGAAAGCTCAACAGAGCTTAAGTAATCTGATAGTGTAATTCTTTTGTGATCATGTAAACTTTACAGGCGCATTGGTATTCCTGGATAATCAGTTAGCTTGTTTGGATGTAACGATATTCTGTGAGAAATAAATATCTTTCAACCATATCTGGATTAACTCCAGCTTCCCTCTTCTTCTCCTTCTTCTTCTTCTTCTTCTTCTTCTTCTTCTTCTTCTTTTCTTTCTTTTTTTTATTTTTTTTATTTTTTTGGTGCAGAAACAACCACATGGACAACATAAAAGCTTGGGAACGTTGCAACGGGTGAAGAGATGAAGGAAATGAGAATAAGGAAGGGCAATAACCCATCAAAGTAAGAAAACAGAATGCAAACATGAGACAGCCTACAACACAGTATCAATGAGAGTTTAGCCAAGTTGGTTCCTACTTGACCATTAAGCAATTTAAAAACTTTGATTTAAAGTTAAGATTAAAAGTTCAAACCTCTATAATACTAATACTAAGTAGTTAACCCTTCCATGAAGCACACAAAAAAAAAAAAAAAAAAAAGGTTGATAACACAAAGTCCCCCTGATTAAACAAGAAATAATATACACTAATTGCAAAATAATTAAATAAAAATCTACCCATCATCAAAGGCCAGTAGAACCATGAAGACACGATCCAAAAATGAAAGCAAAAGTCTTTTTTTGGCCTAATTCATGCAAAGTTGCATGAAAATAATTGTAACACCAAATTATTTTGATGCTTGAACTTCTTTGAGTTTCAAGTTTGGATAATGAAACAGTAAACAGTACAAAAGGTTGGCTACTTTGTAAATATTATACACAGAAGCACACCCCACTGTAGTAAGTCTACCCTTTGATAGTTGAGAAGCCAACACAGAATGAAAGTGTTGATGACTGCAGCATGAGGAATTCCTGCAATAAATACCAGAGTTAGACCACTTTGCCACCATCCATTGCTTGAAATGGTTCAAAGACCATAAATCATTAATCTTGATTATATAATTACACAGGAAATGGCCTTCACACCAAATTGGAAAAAGCAGCAAAATATTACCATAGAATGTGCTTCACATCATCATATATGCCTAGAGACACTTTAGAAAAAACTAACATACATTGTTATGGACATCAATTAAAAATACAACCACCATGAAGACAAGTAGCACCTTGTTTATACAGAATTCAAATTTCAAATCATCAAAACTCTGCAAGCCATGAAGGAAAACGGAAAAATTAAATGTAAGCATCAAATCATTCCAATCCATGACAGGGCAAGGACAGATCAAAAGCCAGTTGTTACCAATGTTCTCCATTCTAAAATATGGCAGACTTAACAATTACCAGGCAGTATCAGAGATTGGAAATTTTAGCAACAGGAGCTTAATTCTGTTGGCACAAATAACTTGTTAAAGCCTTGAATTTGAGATAAAGTTGGGTCCAAAATTCAGACCTCTACAAAAGCCAAAGTCTACAAACTTAATAATACTGCCATGTACTCACAACAAAAGGAAAATAGGAGAATTTCACAAAAAAGCAACAGCTACTTATTAACACATGGCAAGAAAAAGATCAGACATCTAAAAGAGTAAGAGTGTGTTTGGGATTGTTTTCACCTACTTTTGCCACAGCACCTTAAATTTGATGTCTAAAAACAAAAATGAAAAATGACTTGTAGCTAAAAATAGTAAAACACTAATTAAGGAGGCTGCATAAAAGATAAAGACTGACATAGGAGACTACTTCTGGAAATCTCCCAAAGATCAATTTCTTTCAAGTTTCGACTTCAAGAACTCTAGAAGCAAAGTTTCATCTATAATCTGAAGCGCATTCAATGCCAACCAGACCTCCTACCAATCTCCAAATAAGAGATTTAATGACATAAAGCAACCACAATAAACTCGATTCATCAGCAAATTCATTGAAATCAGGAACAGCAATTCGCTCAGGTAATTGTGTCGATGGTATATCACTTGATCTCATACCATCAATTCAACATGCATAACATCCACTACAATGAATAGAACTATTTTTTTCAGCAATCAAAAGAAAAAACAGGGTAACTAAGCAACAATTGTTCAGGGCAATAAGTTTCTATAATCTAAAGACATGTCTAACACAGACACTAAAACAGCAGGAAACACCAACTAAGCTTCAAAGACCCCACCTTCAGAGTCCAGACGGCCTAAACACAGCACACGCTCCACTACTCAGAGCGATTGGCAAACCTCTCCACCTTCGCATCTGTCAAATTGAGCCCCACCATAGCCTCACCAAGGCCGCAACTCACCTCCGCAAGCACATCAGGGTCACTGTAATGGGTCACTGCCTGCACTATAGCGCGGGCGCGCCTGGCAGGGTCCCCGCTCTTGAACACACCTGAGCCCACGAACACTCCATCACATCCCAGCTGCATCATGAGCGCAGCGTCAGCAGGGGTGGCCACCCCTCCCGCCGCAAACTGCACAACAGGCAGCCTACCTAACTGCTTGGTCTGCATGACCAAATCATAAGGCGCCGCAATCTTCTTGGCAAAGCTGAAAACCTCATCATCATCCATGTTCCTCAGCACCCTGATGTCCCCCATCACGGACCGCACGTGCCTCACGGCCTCGATAATGTTTCCAGTGCCAGCTTCACCTTTTGTTCTGATCATAGCCGCTCCTTCCCTGATTCGGCGGAGAGCCTCCCCTAAATTCCGGCAACCGCAGACAAAAGGGATCCTGAAATTATGCTTGTTGATATGATTCTCCTCGTCAGCAGGAGTGAGCACCTCACTCTCATCAACATAATCTATCCCAATGGCTTCGAGGATCTGGGCCTCCACAAAATGACCAATACGAGCCTTGGCCATGACGGGGATGGTGACCGCCTGCTTGATTTCCTTAATGAGCTGGGGATCACTCATCCGCGCAACGCCACCTTGAGCCCGGATATCGGCAGGAACACGCTCGAGAGCCATGACAGCGCAGGCACCAGCTTCCTCAGCGACACGAGCCTGCTCAGGGGTGACAACGTCCATAATGACCCCACCTCGGAGCATCTGGGCAAGACCCACCTTGACCGAAAAGGGGGATTTGTGGGTCTCCGTGATTGCTCCGTTTCCGTACACCGCAACCACTCCAGTTCCGGCCATCTCTTTCAAGAATATAGAGAAAAAAAAAAAAATGAGAGAAATTGAGAAATGCCTGTGATGGTGTAAGGGAAAATGTTTGTGTGGGAGGTGGTGGAGCAAAGATGCCGGCGAGAGATAGGTTTAAGTAGAGGGGCGCTTTGAATGGTTCCTGCTCGATGGTTAGCAGCAATAAGATGCGGCCTGGACTATCGTAACCCAAACCTAACTCTTTCCGTCCGATTTGGTGGTTTCAAATGCAAGTAGTACCAACCCAGAGCTAAACAAAAATTCTTGATTGAAAAATAACATTTAAAATCTGTTTGGTTTGTAATAAAAAAATAAATAAAATATTTTATTTTATTTTATTAAATAAGTCTGTTGTATTACAATTTAAATTATTTTAAATTATAAAATAAAAATCATTAAATAAAAAAACCATTATTATTGAGGAGTTGAGTTTTATTTAAGAATTAATATTTTACCGTTTAAAACACTTTAAATTATAAAATATCTTTTTGATTATCAAATTATACCGTTGAATAATCAAATTAATAACAATATGTGAAAACGTCTTTGAGTTGTTTGTGAGCTGTTTAGTAAGATAATCTTCTCTCTTAAATTTTTTTAATTTTTTATAAGGTTATTTATACATTTTTATACATTAATATTATAATAAAAATAAACATAATATTTTTAATCTTTAAGAGTATTTTTCTTGATATAATTATCTCTAAAAGGGACAAACCAGATTCCATTCATCTGCCCATGGTAATGATAATTAACATGGTTAATTTCCTTCCTTAAATAAATTATTTATAGTCGATTTTCTTTTCCTTTCATCTGTCCTAGATTCTGTTATATTTTATTACCAGTAAATTATGGAGTTTTTTTTTTTTAATTTTTTTGTCAATGAGGGTATAGATTAGAAGTGTTTGTTATTATAAATTTATATAAAAATATAAAAATTAATATTAATTTTAATGTTATTGCCATATAAATATAATTAATTAGATAATTAATAAATCAACAGTTAATTTTTATTTAAAAATTGTTAATAAAAACTATATGATAAATATAATTTTAATTTGTACTTTTTAAGATACATGTTAAAAATAATTATAAATTAAACCAAGGATTTTGTTTTTTAACAATGAATATTGTATTATTTACATGGCATTAAATATTGTGTGTATGATATCTCAGTCTCTCCAATGAGTTAATTTGTGTTACAAGATGTCATTATTAAAAGAAATATATATTGTGAATAAATCATTTTGCTTAAGATTAATTGGTGAACCAAAGAAGAGAAAAATACAATAAAGTGAATGCATCCTGTTATAATATTAAATGAGATAATGTATTTAATATTATACAAATAAACTTCTAATAAAAGGGTTAATTATACGCAAAATATTATATACAGTAATAAATTGTGCACTCTGCTATTCTTGAAGAAAATACAGTCACGTTATTATAAGAGACTGTAAAAAATTACTGTAGTTAATTTTGGTATTTAAAATATTAAGAATAATAATGTAAAATTTAAATGCCTTAATAAATTAATATATAAAAAATTTATTAAAAATATTTAAATAATTTCATAAACAATCAAAACAATTTAAAAACCAGCATATTTTTTGTGCCGAATTAATTGTCAATTTTTTTAAAAAGAAAAAAATATTTTTTATTTTAATCTTATAATTTTATATTTACTTTAATTAATTATCTAATCAAAATTTTTTATTTCTTTTTTAAAAGTATTTTAGATAAATATAAATATTGATCTTAAATCTTTATTAAAAATAAAAAAAATGATAATTATTTTAATATAGAGAAAGTACTAATATTTTTTTTATTGGTAATAATGAAAAAAATAAATAAATAGAGACAAATGAGTAAGAAGAGATTTAAGAAGGTGAAGACTATTTCTTATTATAAGTCTATCATCTTAAACTAATGACTTATTGGTCTAACTAAAAAAAAATTTGTTTTCTTTAAACAATTTCTTAATTTCGAGTCCCATAAGTGGTAAAACAAACTTTAATAGAGTTTTCCAACTTATGCAAATCTATCAACAAAATAAATAAAGATAGGAATTTATTATATAAGTTGTGAAAAATTAAAATATGTTAACAATTAAAATATCATTATATCTTATAAAATTATTTAAATATTTTTAATAAATTAATATACAAAAAATATTAGAAATTTTTAAATAATTTTATAAAAAAAATCTTCACACTTAAAAAAATTCAGACGTGCTGAATTTCACTCTACTCTTTATTATATGAGTCATTTTGGCGGAAATTCAAAAAGATAAATTATATTAAGAGGCTGCGAGAAAGGAATCAAAGGGCACCGCACGTTTCCAATCTCTGGAGAAATTTTATATCCCATATTTTGAAATTTAATTATATAGTCCAACCAGAACCGTAATCAAATTGCCTTCTTCCTTCAATGCGCACACATCGAGTTGTTTTTGCGTCTTTCATAAAAAAATTGACTCTGAACGTCCAAATTCCACTGGTCTCTTTCCTCGAAGCAGAAAGCAATACCAAATCTTGGCCTTTCCTCCACTTTCTTGGTCCTTTACCATTAACTTTTCGTTTTTTGGTATTAATATCTCGGTATTTAATAATTATATTAAATTTTAATTAATTTAAAATTAAATTATGTTAAATTTCATTTGAGAAAAATTTTTCTTAATTTTTATTTTTTTATTTATAATATTTAAATTTAAAATTTTATTTAAAAAAAATTGATTTCTTTTTACTTGAATTAAAAAATAATTAGTCATTAACTGTACGTTGTGCTTCTATAAAAATGCATGTCCAACTTATTTATTTATTTTGAAATAGTAAGCCGCCATATTGCCTCTGGTATGTTTTTAAAAACTAATTGGTATATTCAAAGAAAATAAAATAATTTTTTATAACTATGGTTAGGCATTTTTGATAATTTCTTTTCAACATTCTTTAAAAACATAATCCTATATGACATGATACATTAAAAAAATTTTAATTTCATTAGATGCTCTCTTAAAAGTTTATACTTTAAATGTAATTTATAAAATAACATTTATTTAATATCTAATTTTAGGTTAAATCCTTTAATATTATCACCTAAGACTTATTAATAGTTTTAACCTAGGTTCTTTGTCATCTGTACTTTTATGGATGGTATCTTGGACTAGTCAATTTGCGGACACCAGATTAACCCTTCCTCAGATAGTCACTGGGGCTAATCAATTTGCTCCTAAACAATCAGACAAATAAAATTTCAATTGCTGTCTTGTTATATCAGACGTCAGAATGAATCATGAGTGTTGGCAGAATCATGAAACTACGAAGCGAATTGGAATGCAGAACCACAGATACCTACCTCTGAAAGCAAGGGGTGAAAAAAACCAAGGGAAGAGAACAAGGATTTTGCATATAAAATTCTGCGTGTGCTCTGATATTATATTCTATATGGATGGATGGAAGGATGGATGCATTGGTGGAATGCCAACTCAGTAGACAAAATGCATGGTTGTTCAACTTTTTTCAAAACAATGCTGATATTTTCTGCTCTTCATTTAACTTGATCAATGCATCCATCAGCATGAAAAGAAATCGAGTAGAATGCTTCTAGGCTTGCAATTACTTTGAGCAGTGTGTCTTTTGTGTAACATGAAGCTGGGTGGTGCTTATACTGTGAAAATCTTCCTCACCTTCTTCATGTTTCTATGGCAAATCGGGCAGGTTCCATCAGCCTCTGCTATCCTGCAAATATAAATTTACAACACATAAATTAGGTTGGAAATTCAGGCAACCTTGTCTAAAGGGATGGTTCTGTGATGGAGCAGTTCAGAGAGTCTAAGGTAATTAAGTTTCTAACAAAACCATTTTAAATGGAAGATGTGAGGTACTCTTTGTAGTTGTGACTCTTCTCATCTCGGTATCAATTGATGTTTATTTCAAATTCAAAGTGAAAAATGTAAAATGCCTCAAGACAACAGCACAAAACCCAGTTAAACCATGAATGGAGTGAGGTACAGCATAGCATCTTAAATTCGGGCAAGATTGATGAAGATGACCTATTTCCAAAACAACATTTATGCAAAGGTGGGGATGGAGAGTGAGAGTAGTTACCTTGTTCCACATTCAAAACAAGCCACACAGTGCCCACAAGGAAGGAAAAAGCAGTCCCTGGGAGCATCAAAGCAAATTGCACAGAGACGTCTGGTGTTGTTACTATTTTCACCATCTCTTAGTGATGTCCCTTCAATGTTACTAGCTGCCAGAAATTCCTCAAGATCATCCTCACCATTGGAGAGAGAATCATAAGATGAACCCCAACTTGAGAGATCATCATCTTTACGAGAAAGGAGAGGCGCCCTCTCCGATCCAACTTCTGCATATTGATTTCCACTTTCACCTCCACGGTAGCATTGGATTTTGTTTAAGAAGTTGAAGGCAGCCAACATGATCACCGTCATTCCACCTTTCAGCAGAAACCACATGTGAAATTCATATATAGAAAAGTTTGTAATGAGAGAAAATAAAATAAAGAAGCTTACCAATGCCACATATATATGTGATCCATCTTGGTCCATATGACAGTCGGACAGACAAGTCATCTGCAGATGTATTCTGAGGCAGCCAAAATGCAAAATAACATGTAAATACTTATTAGGATGGAATTAAAAGGCTCTTAGTCTAGAAGACCAGAAGTATTGGAATATATGTTTCACAAGCCAATGGTACCAAACCATGGATTAAAAAGCAGGCATTTTAGAGGTTTTTGCATGACCAACTGAACCTAAGGTTTTAATATTACGAGAATACCTCTGGAATATTCTTTAGAAAGATGCCAAAAAATGAACTTCTGAAAATGGCTTCTGAGTATTGGAATTGAAATTTTTTAAGTTTATCTCCAGTTTTAGATAATGGTTCCTTCAAGGAAGAAAAAAGATTAGGGAAACTATCAAAAAAAAGAAAAAAGAAAAAAAAAGAAAGAGATTTACCTGGTTTGGGCTAGGAGAGGTCAAGACAACAATATTTCCCTTAGGAAATAAAACACTCAGGCTACATCGTCCTTGGGTAAAAGTACACTTGTAATAAGCTTCAGTTGTGTTATACTTCCACGCCTTTAATCTGAGATTCAACTCCACCTATTCAATGACAAAAAAAAGATAGTGACAATAGTAAAAATGACAAAGTTGAAAAGAACCAGCATCTGATTGAGAGGAAAAGGTGAGATTCAATAAAATGTTAAAATGAAAACCAAAATCCTAATTAAAAATTCAAAAATCCACTTTATTAAATGTTGATACCTAGATTTGGAAAACTGATTATATATTCTAATATAATCAATTTTCGAATCTAAAATGATGATAGATTTAAAATTTTGAATTGAATTTTAATTAAATAAAACAACGTGATTTAAGGTTAGAACTCTAATTTATTTTAGAAGTTGGGCTTGATATGCTCTTTTCCCTATATATATATGTATGCATGTATGTATATATATGGAACCTCTAGACTCTAACTGTCCTAAGCTATGTATAACACTGAAATAGTCCAGCTAGTTACACATGCTAGGCTTATTTGGACTCTCTATTTCTAGGAAGAAAATGTTTCTGTCATTTACACCTATAACTGTTAGAGAAATAGGTTCAAGGCACTTCCAACATAACCACTTAGTCAACCCCATATACCTCTGTGAATTAAAATAATAAAACAAGTAAATCAACAAAATAAATCAGAATAGATGAAAATTTTCCTTACCTCCACTTCCTCTGAGTTTAGATTACCCAATGCAATGTAGTAACTTGAAGCTATGTCTATATCCTGCTGGATCACACCACTTCCTACAGAGTACAATATGCAGAGAAGTGTTTCAAAGTCAGTACATATATTTTTAGGATGGAATGATCATAGTATTTTGCACCTCTATCTCACCATGAACAACATTCCATGACAAAGTGGTGTTTGGATATGTTGGGTCCTCAAGCCATTGTGTAAGGCCGTCACTTCCTGCAACATGTCAGATTTGGAATGAGTTATAGAAATCACAACTGAAACCATTTTTTATGGTGCACTTGCAATTAACATCATTAGTTCTGATTGGAACCATTACCCCTAGGTTGTGTTTCAATGAAGGATTTCAAGGTTTCACATGAAGAAAATGTGAAGGAATTTCAAATTCCTCATTTTGTCAAGGAGGGAGAGGATTATACTTCAGTTGGAAAAAATTAAGGATTTGAAGGAGGGATTTCAATAAAACCACCTTTAAAGTTTTAAGTGGTTATTTAAAATGACAAGCACAAGCTTTTGTATTCCAACCAAAACATTTTTCACATGAAAGGTCATTTAAATAAGTAATTAGAAACTCCTTTCTCCAAATTTTCTTCATTGAAGTCCCTTATTTAGAATCCTTCATCCAAACCCAACCTTAATGCTATCCTTTCAAATGACTTTGTACTCAAAATCATTTAGATAACATGAATTTAAGTTGAAGAACTAAATTTCCTTGGTTCTATATTTGGACAGCCTTTTTCGACATTAGTATAAAGAAAAGATAGTCTTTGATTACACTATAATGCCATTAGAACATGACTAGCAAAAGTTATACAGCATTAGAGTAAGGTGCAAACCTTGAGCAATTATAAGGAAGACAGAGGAGCCAGAGGAGTTCACCGTATATGAAATGTTAACTTGAGAGCCCTCATTGAGATAATAAATCCACGACTGAATACCATCAGAAAGCTCAAATTTAGAAACTCTGTCTATTGACAAATTGGAATAAGATATTGAAGACACACTCCATTGGATCAAACTTGCCTTGTGAGAATAAACTTGAACAGTAGTAACGTAAGTTTCAGACCAAGTGGTTTCTACATCAAGAGGTGGGGTTTTATAAAACCCATATAGCTCTATTCCATTCGCAGCACCATTGGACTCTTCTATCTTTAACAAGCCAATAGAATTACTCCCACTAATAATAAATAGGAAAAACAACAGAAAGGGAAAAGTATTGAAAAAAAGGCAAATGATTACCGTTATACTTTGGACAAATATAGGGTTAGGCTGAATAAGAAGCGAGCAATTTGGACCAAGGCTTATATTGGAAGCCCCATAAACCCCCAAAATCAGAGTCATTGCAACTGTTAAATCCAAAATTAACCAAATTATTAAGCCTACCAACCTATAAACATCAAAATTTGGAAATCTTATCCAGTTTCAAGTCTAAAATTGGCTAGGAAATCAATCAATCTACAAGCATTACAAGCAATTGCAAGAAACCAAAAATAAAGGGAAGAGAAAGATACTAACCGAAAAACCAAAAAGTAAGAACCACAATGATGCAAGACCAGGTGTCATCGGTAATCACCTCTGATGAAATATCAAAAGCAAAGAAGCTTCCCCGATACGATACACCATTTTGGTGATGCTCTAACTCTGTATCATGATGGCGGTGCTGGTACCGGTCGTGTTCTTCCCTTACGGAAGTATTTGAAGACGACGCGGCAGCACCTGAATCCCCCCTATTGACCGGATAAGAAGATGAGGAGGAGGTAGATGCGGAGCTCCGACTCGGTTCTGCCATTCTAAAAGGAGAGAAAAAAACGGGTGGATTGAAACTCAAAGTGAAATTTCAAGGGATTGGTGAAATAATATCAGAAATTGCAGAGTCCAGAGGTTGAAGAAATGGTACCTTGAGGTTTCTCTGGGAATGTGCCCATGGAGATGCGGGAGGAGATGAGGAACTGAATTCTACCCATCGGTCTTCTTCCTCCTCCCAAGACTGGTAGTTAGCTTGACTCTGACGCTGGGCAGTGCTGTTGGTGTGTGTTGGTAGGATTTTATTTTTTTTGCGGTTATTTCGATTTTAGAGTTGGTTAAAATACCAAAATGGTCTATAAATTTGTACTAAAATGGTTCTTAAACTTTCAAACATACCAATATGGTCCTTCAACAATAAATTTTGGTACTATTTTGGCTCTTCCTTTTGATTTTCCTTTAACCGAGGTTAACTAACGTCAGAGGCTGTTAAACTCCATCTAACAAGGCTGACCTGGCTTTATTTTAATGAGATGACCAATTTTTGCTGGCATGATAATTTAAAATCTGATATGAGAATTTCATTCTAAAATTTAAAATTTGATATAAAAAATAATTTTGTTTAACATATGCCATAAAAGTATAATAAATGCATTTTTTTTTACATTAATTTGAGTTGAGAAAATAAATATTGACATTAAAAAGTAAAGTCTATTAGGTTGATGCACATTATTCCTAATGAATAGTTATATTTGGCATGGTTAGATGAGGTAATTGGTTATAGTTTTAATGGTTTTTTTATGATAATTTTTGGTAAATCAATTTTTATCAATTTATTATAAATTACTTATATAAATAGGAGATATTAACTTGGCAAGAGGCTTGTGCTCTAATCCTTCATTGGATGGATTTATCCTTGACTGGTTTTTCTCTTGTTAAAGTTGTAGTCATGCAACTTATGTTGAAGATGAGCAAGAAGCTTTGGAATGAAATTCCATTTGGACATTTAAGGACCATATCAGTGCTTTTAAAAGTTTAAGGATCATTTTAGTACAAATTTTAAAGGTCAAGGATTATTTTGATATTTTAACCTTTCTAGTTTCCTATTTTTCATGTCACTTACACTAAAATTATTACAATTCCATTAATAAATCAATATAATAAAGAATTTTGTGTACTTTTCTAAATTCGCACGTGGATCTTAAAAACGCTTTTTTAGTTTTTTACTGTTATAGTTACTGGCTTCCGTAATAAATGATATATTAATTTGAGTGATAAAAATATTACTTTTTTAGTTAAAATTTTAATTTTAAATTTTATAAATAAAAAAATAAAAGTTGAAGTAGCTTTTTTAGAAAATTAGTAAAAACAAAATGTCTCCATAAGTACAAAATCATCGGAGACGTTGTGGTACAAGCCTCTATGTATGAGGATTAATACTATGAATAATTAATTTAAAAATAAAATTTAATTATATAATAAAAAATAATTTTCCCCCCTTATATAACTTAACTTACCCTACCTCTGTATATATATCTATCACTTAACGCCTTGTTTGGATAGAAAATAGTAAAGGGAAGGGAAGGGAAGGGAGGGGAATGGAGGAAAATAAAAGGAAATGGAGGGGGAGGAAAAGAAAGGGAAGGGAAGAAAATAGAAGGAAATGATTTGTGTTAATTTTGTTTGGATAAATAAAAATGAGGAAGGGAAGGGGAAGGGGAGAATTGTATTATTTTATGTTTGGATAGTTAAAGTAAAAGAAAAGGAAGGAAGGGAATGATTTAAATTAATTTTAAATTTACAAATTTACCCTTTAAACTTGTAATGGAGAAGTATATAATAAAGAAATTAAGGTTAATTTTGTAATTACATTTAACTTAATGTAAACAGGCACTCAAATCCCTCCCAAACCCCCCAAATCGGGTGGATTGCAAATTTGCCGATTCGAGGGGAGTTGGAGGGAGTCCGAATCAGTTCATCTCCCTCCCCCTCTGCCTCTTTGGAAACCCAAATAGAATGAAGGAGACAGCTCCCCCTCACTCTCCCTCCCTTGCCATCCGTCCCCATCCCTTCCCCTCCCTCTCCGTCTGACACCTCCAATCCAAACAATACCTAAATGTAACATTTCTTGTTTTACTCGGAAAAGACTGGAAAGATTAATAGAGCATTTAAGTCATTCGGGACGTGACAAAATGGTGGCGGATTAGAGAGATAAATTGACTAATATTAGATATCAAATTCTCCCAAAAAATACTAATTTTTTATATTTAAATATCTAAATGGCCATTAATTTATAATTTAATATAACTCAAATTACAAATTTGATTTATCTACGTATAAATTTTAAAAACAAATTATTTAACATTAAATGATTTAGTAATTATCTCTTTAAAAAAAATGCTTAAACATGAAGTTTAGGTTCTATACTGCTAACCTTCCTCTCAAAAAATTTCCGTAATTAAAAAAGAAATGGTAGAACAAATCTTTTAGACACTATTCATGTTTCATGAATTTAAATTTC